ACAAGATGCATTGGTATAAGCAGCCTGTGGGCATGCACAGCTTTAGAGAGGCACTAGAACGTCACTGGTTCCATGCACACCAACCCTGCTACAAGGCTAGCATCCTCCAGCTTCAGCTTCCATTAGCAACATTCCTCCAGCGAAGGCAAACAGCAGGGAGGGAAGGGGTGACTCAGAGAGAAGAGGCTGCTGTTTTCAGAGCACTGGGTAATTTTGCCATTCTGCAGCAGGAGCAGTAATGTTCTGGTACCTCTACAGGCGCTGCTTTCCAGAGGCCCACGTTATACACCCCTTCAATAATTATGCACCCCTTCAAACAATGCTGAGCTTGGTCACGCTTGCTACCAGCGCAGCAAGAACCCGTAACCACTCTTGTACCTGGCACTCCAAGCACCTGCAAGGGCTTCCAGAGATGTGTGCACACCTGTCCTGTGCAAAGAAGTGCTGCAGTGCCACTTCTGCTGCTGCAGTGGTGGCATGGACTGCTTGGTCCTTCCACCTCTCGTAACTGTTAAGAGGATGTATTGTGATGGATTTCAAGCAGTGCAAGAGGTGTTGAGGGCATTTTACAACGTTTAAAGTGTCGTTTCTGACCAGTGTCTTGATTCATCACTAAATCTGCTAGTATGCAAAGCTGCAGAGATTAATGGGAAAACAAGACACAGTAACTGAAAATTAGCCTGGTTTATATGTTTTTCAGAAGCCTGCTTTCCAAATCTGTGTGCTTAAACACTGATTTTTACAGCTTTTGCAGTTTGTGTATTATGTAGTATTCCCACACGATGATCCTTTAAAACACTGTTAGGTATGATGGTTTTTTTGTTTAATTTTAAAATGCAACTAGGTTCTGCTATAATTTTTGGAGGGCTTACCTTCTACATCTCCTGAGAGTGGATTAAAATTTCCAAGCTATAGGACCCCAAGTCCACTTTTCAAACAGATACTAGGAATTCAGATTCTGCCACACCACAAGTCAATGAAGCTTAAGTAAAGGTTTTAAAAAGCTACTAAGTGCTACCATTTCACACAGGCCTCTCTTTATTAAACAGAAGGCTTGCAAACAAAATAATACATGGTATAGGAAAGGTGTAAATTTATCTAATGCATTTAAATAAAACTGAAGATAAAAACAGGTTGGTTTTGTTTTGTGTTGGTTTGGGTTTTTTTTTTTTTTCTGTAATGTATGCCTCCTTAGTTGTGAACACTGTCAGCAGATGGCAGTACAGTCAACTCCCCAAAGAGCAAAGAAAAGTTCTTTTAAGGAGAATGTTGTGTTTTTCTCTCAGGCTTCCGAAGAGAAACCTACCTATATCAACAGTTTTGTCCTGCCCAGAAATCTCTATTATAAGAAAAAAAATTGGACTTTCCTCCCTCCCTTTCCCCTAGGATCCAAGGGCATCTTGAGGTTCTCTGCTTTAAGGAACTAATTTAAGTGTTCCTGCCTCCTTAAGAAGAAGCTCTTTCCTCTGAATATTCAAGTAAACTCTGCTCACTTAAATGACAAAAGAAAGCAATATGTTTGTACATTGCAGCACAGTAACCAAGTCTTGTCATTAGAAAGCTCTGCAAGGTTCTACTACCTCTCACATCTCAAAGGAAATATTTTTCCAGACCCAGTTGTTTAGCAAAATTCCATACATAATAACATATCTGTACCTAATGGAAAATCTGGAAGGAAAACTCTCCATTACTGAAAATTATATATGAGAAGAAAACTATTCAGATTAGTTTTCTAGTGCTAGGCTGGAATTCAGTGCTGATGCTTAAAAAAAATTTTTTGTTTTAAATTTTCCATTACCTAAACCAGTGCAGCATTTAGACATTCAATTCTACACGTATGAGTTCATTTAATGACTTTAAGATTAACTAATTCCTCAGCTGAATCAGTTACAAATAGAAGGTACAGAAACACAACTCTGCATTTTCAGCAGAGGAAGCTGCTTGTTTTGCAAAAGTTCAGCCAGTAATGCCTCACATTAATGTTCATTTTTTCATATAAACTGGGATTTCTTTCTGGGGCTAGGCAAACTTTAAGTGAACTACCTGAACAACTTTAAAATGAAAAAAAACTGGGTAAAACTGCAAAATTCTGTGCTTCAGTATAAAAAAATTACTATTTTTTAAAAAGCTAAAACCCCCAAATATCCTGCACTAGGTCTGCAAATACTAGAATCAAGAATCAGCAGTTCATCTAGATATTCATTACACAGAATGAAAAGGTACAAAGTACTTTCCTTTTTTTCAGCTTAATCAAGGGTAAAAGTCCAAATAAACTGAAAGCCACATTTTTTCCACAACATGTCCATGTGAAAAACTATGTAACTAACTTCTTACACTCAAAAATAAGACAGGTATTGAGCATTAAACTCTTCCATATTGACACTGTAGAGCAAAGCAGTTCCCCTACACTATTTGAACACTATCACTGAAATAAGTTCCATCATTCCTGCAAACAATATTCATGCTTTAAGGCAGTTTCCACGGGCCATTTAACTAAGTAACAATTTGAGAGGCCTACCTCTATAAGCTACTTCCCAGTGACCTTCTAGAGAGTGATTTCGATTGGTGATCACATACTGATACCCAACCCAGAACCTACAAAAAAAAAAAAAAAATAAATAAAAGGTTAGATTCCAAAGATACAAGTCAAAAACATTAAAATAAATTACTCAGAACCTTCCAATGTTTTCATACTTAAACACTAACTTTCAAAACGTTCTAATAATTTTTTCCTTAATATTTCAGGCAATATGTTGGCAATGCAAACAGACACCACAGTTCAGGAATAGAGGAAAATACTTGATCATTTTCTATGTTTCCAAATGATAGCTCAGTGTCCTTTGTATCTACTTGTAATAAGCACCCGATTCGATTGTTACAGGAGCACTTCAGCATCTTGAACCCCAAAACCACACAAAAGAATCCAGAAGTCAAATATTTTATAAACATACACGACTTATATCAGACTGTTTCAGAGCAAACCATCTAACTCTTCAGAGACGGAGATAACCAGGAGTGGTTCAGCAATGGTGTATCTGTCATGGCAGCCCATGTGACTGACAAAAACCCCAGAGGCATAAGGGGAAAAAAAAAAAGGAACTACGTCATGAAGTAAGAGAATGAAATATCTAAAGCCACCAAGAGATAGTTCTTGCAACTCAAAATGGCTTTTTACTTCATTCATAGATCAAACTTGTAATCATTAGTAGTTAATGGGGGCAAAAATTCTGCTAAGAATTTTAAATAATTATCTCTATATCAGGTGGTAAAGCAGTAAATCACTGTAAAATCCACCTTCCCTGCTGCAGTTCAAGAATACTAGCACATTGCTGAGACACTGAAGATAAAAAGACTGCTGAATTGTAGCCTGTTAATGTTAATTAAAACATAAAATACAGATGGCTACTGACAGTCAGTCAGCCAGTGTACTCATACTGTGTTATTTATGTGAAGCCAATTTTACCATTAGATTTTTCTAAGCAAACTGACCTACCACAGCATTTGTAGCACACAAAAACCCTTCTCAGGTAAAATGCAACCTTTGTTCTTTCCTTCCTACTCACCTACGCTGGTCCTTCCTTACAAATGTTTTTTCTTCCAAGTCCCACTCCTGTGCCAGGATAAACCTCAGCTCCTGGTCTGCAGTGAAGGTGGCGAGGGATCCGTTCACCCGCTGACATGTCTGCACAGCGTCCCAGTAGTTCTCCCCATTTAAATACACTCTGTAACAGCTGGCTGTGCCCTCATAGTGGTGCCATCCTGTTGGGCACTTTCCTAGGAAACATGAAGAATAGAAGGGAAACCATTCCCCCCAAATTAGGATCTTCAAGATAATGCATCCTCAGTTTATGACTATGAAATGCATAATCACTCGTATGTGCACATTCAAAACACTGAGTATACCTCACCAGGAGGAGATGCATGCATTACAGATCACAGAATACTTACTTTACTACAGCTTTTGATAAAGGAATTTCTTTTAAAGTGTGCTTAAAAACATGCAGCTCCTCGTAATTACTGTTTCAATGCACTATGACAGCCTTTAGAGTCTCTAATTAAGACTAATGATCTACAGTGGAAGATATTTCCCTGCACATCTTTACAAATCCAATCAGTTCGATCAATCCAAGTCAAAACAAGCAGCAAGAAGCAGGAAGAAAAAAACAGAGGTGGGCAATTTAATGATTCTGTCTATTAGGTGGTTAGCAATACATCCTACTTGCTGTAAGTTTTCAACCTACTTTTACAAACTGTCTCAGTAGTACTCATATAATGTTGGTCCCGCAGTCAATCACTAAAGATGATGGGGGCTCTGAGGCAATGATTGTTTGCTTTGGAAAAAACATCCCTGGCAAAATGGATCTTTAGGAAGTAAAACAGTGATGGTGTGAACTGCTGTCTCTGCTTTCTCTCTATTAACTCAATCCAGGGAATATGCAACAAAAGCCTTGAAGCATTTCTGGGTGAGACAGGCCCATGGGCATTTGACTGGCATTCTTTGGGGTGATGGGTAACTAATAAGGAGAAACAGAGACAGGTACATGAAATTTAAAATGGACATGAATTTTAGCACCTGCATTTGCAGGATTAATTTTGCGCAACACCTAAAAAAGGAACTTTAAATTCACAAACCGTTTAATGTTCATTGCATGAATTCTGAGTTCCTGTTCTTGAGTCTCTTTATTCCCCGCAGAAGCTGTGAACTTTTTGATCAAATAATGCAAACTTAGATCTGAAGCCCTTTAATTAAATATCTTTCCTTATTTTCCATTTATATGGGATCTGTTAAGACCTAATGCTCACAAAGATGGGAGAGTACAGTATCAGTCAGGCTGCAGAGCATATTAGATATTGCAGTAACAACTTCTAAATTTGTTTATTGTCCTCTATGAATTTTACTAACATAACAGCTACCAGAATCCATGACAAATCAAAATGCCTATTTTAATATGCATTTTTGTCCAAAACCCACCAAAATTTAAAAAATAAAAAAAAATAAAAATCAATCTACAACCTGTCCCATCCTTCCCCCTGAGGCTGATCAGTGCTGTCTCACATTCCCAAACTACTCAATGATCCTGGAATAAAAGAGGGAACAGAAAAGACTTAAATGTTCTGGGTCTGGAGAGATTCAGAGGCAGCAGCCACTACAAGCTATGATCAGCAGGGAGGACATTTGCAGGACATTTGTAACACTTTAGATAAGGCTGGGACTAGGATACCACTGTTGGCTGGAGGCGAGTGGGTAGGATGACACTGTAGTGAAATTTTTGAAGATTCCTAACTGATTGATGAGAGCAACATGGTGAAGCCCATTTAAGTGCTACATATTTCCTTGTTCACCACTCCCTAAAGAATATTTTGGCTACCAACAGGATACAAAACTCATAACATCAAAGATGTGCTTCAATGACAGTGCAGCACCTTTAGGATCATCTTCAAATTTGCTTCAATCAAGAGCAATCAGTTTTGGTTTCCCCTCACTTTCCAGGAGAACCATCCTCCATGCAAGCTGACATCACATGACAAAGGCTAAACTACCACACCTCTGCTACAGGCTGAAACCATCACTCAAGCCATAGGCTTAGTTTTCTGTAATTGCAATGAGTTTTGCAATTACAAAAAAGGGCAACTCTGGTGAGAGTAACAGGGCTACTAGGGAAGGAGAATTCTTTGAATGTATTGGCTTGCTGTATGAACTATGCAATACAGCAGGAGACATATAAGTGAAAGGTACAAGTGCCTTAAAAAGCACTGCATATGAATAAAACTCTGGCCAAAAAAAAACTATGAAAGAGAAAAATCTAATTTCTCCTTAAAAAAAAAAAAAAATAGCCTAAATTGCTAAATTAATTAGCAGAAAGATGGCCCAGATTTCCCAGTCTGCAACTTACTGCTAAATCGGACAGGCTGTGCCACATTGACAGTGTGGAAGCGGGTTGTCTCTCCTCCTCTCCCTCGACTGTGCCTGGAGTCCACATTCTCCTTCCCATGGTACGTCCGTTGGTCACCTGTCAAGCCTGGGGACCAGAACAAATAGTCAGTACTGGTAAAAGATGCAAAGGCAGATTTCATTTTATTAAACCTTCCCTGGGTTTATAATTCAGGACATATGGTAAGTAACAAAGTCAGGTAAACAAAGATGGCAGCTCCCTGTAATGACAGCTTGGCCGTTTTACACGCTACATAACCAAAATACCTACAACTGAAAAGAACCAACAAGCCATTACACCAGTCTTGCAGAGTAAGCTAAATATTTTGGCAGATTCTCAAGGGCCTGCACTTGTACACAGGACTTGATGGTCATAATTTCAACTGGTGCAGCAAATGCATCATTCCCAGTGTGTTTTACAGAGCTGCCCACTCTCCGGTTGCTTCAATTCTCTGTTGTGTGTTCAAGGAGATAAGACAATATCTCTAATATATTTTCCAACACATTCTCTGAGATCTAGGACAAAATTAAAACCAGGAAAGGAAACCTATCTTCAGTCAGAAAAGCAAAGTTTTTCATTCACTCTCAATCTTCTAGAGGAAACATTAATTCATTATTTCTGAAATAAAACCATGCACAGCCTCATCTCAGCAGCAGGGCTTCAAACGGGTGTACGTGACAACTAGATGCAATAACTTAAGAAGCACACAGCACAAGGTGTTATGCCAGAAGAGGGGCTGGGGGCTCCACATGCCTACCAGGAGTAAATAAGGAGCACACTGTTCAGGTGGAGACACTGCAGGATAGGCCATAGCCAGCAAAACTAGCAAGACCCAAAGTAGGAGGGCTGGCACAGTGGTGGAGAGAAACTTCTGAGAAATACAGAGATCAGCACCAAGAAAGATTCATCTGGAAACAAGGGATTAACCTTATGTATGTTATTTAATACTACTACTTATTAAAGGCAATAGAGTTCAACCAGCACAAAGAGCTATGCAGATATTCATCTTGATAATAAAAAAATCTGCTTATTTTCCTTTAAAGCAGATTAGCTCTATTTAGCATAGCTAAACCAAATAAACCATAGTACAAAATAAAGAGGAGCTACATAGTCCTCTTCAACAGGTTTAACTACATCCGTTTGAAATGCTTCACTCACTATGTCAATAAAAACCTCTCCTTTCAGACTATCTTTAAAAACCAAGAAGTCCACAGCACTTTCTTGATAATTTAAGTTCAGAGTTGGAGACTGTTCAGTGTATTACATGGGGAAAAAGACCTCCAGAAGACCCACCATCAAACAGTGCACTCCTTGGAGCAAACATTAGCACTGATGAGCAAAAACCTCACTAGCTGGAGCCCAGGAACAACAGCAAAGCTCTGCATTCATCTGGCTCTAGCATGCTGAGTTTGCCCTGGGTTAATGGGATAAGCAAGGGATATTTAATTATCACGTTATCCTAGGAATTACATGCCTATAGAGATCACCCATTAAGAAATGGCTGCACATAATACACTCATGTGGCCCTACAGGAATAAAGAAGTAATTCTACTGTTCAGTATTAGAACATGCTATTTATCACAGGCAAGAAGTTCAGTTAGCATAAATTTCAAAGGACACAAAATGGTAAAATAATTTGACAGTGAAGATCACTGATCATTTTTTATTACCTTATAAAAGGCCAATCTATTTTTAATTTTAGAATCTGACTGCTCTTAATCCTAAAGGTTTAATAGCAGGATTTACACTATGATTTTCAGAGTGATACTAAGACACTAAAAAAGCAAATCTTTAATTATAGTAAGACTTTAAATATAATACTAATGTAGAATGCTTTATCAAAGATAAACTGAGCTCAGTATGGGAAGCTCTATTTTCCCATGGCATTAAGTGGTAACAACTAAACTCAAAGAACCAGTAAGAACCAAACACACAAAGAATTAGTTCCCTTTCAGAAGTAAGAGCAGGTGCAACACCATATGGCTGACCCTTCACAGCTAAACACGACGCCCACAAGGACTTAATTTACCTCTCCCAGGAATAAAATAGAAGTTCACAGGTCTAAACACGCGAGGTTAAGAAAGGGTTACTTGGGATAACATCTTAAATTGACAGAATTTATGCCAGATGCTTTGAATAATAGCTACAGAGATTCCACACAAAGTGCGTTCAGTTAGTCCCCACCCAGGAAGCAGGACATTCATTGCTCCCTCAGCATCTGCCCCTGTCAGACTCACCACCGAAACCAGGCAGGACTGGAGAGGCAGAAAGCAGCCACCACAAGTCAGGTCTTCTAGCCCAACACTCTCAGCTGCTTAATAAACTGGTGCTCTTCAAATATTAAATTGCTTCTATTTGACCTGAATTTTAGGTCTCTGAGAAAAGCAACGACGACAAGTTTTTCTAGGGCAATAAAGAAAGAGATGCTAACAAGTCTCTAACTCACTTCACTGCCAGGAAAAGCCCTTGCAGATTCTGGTGGCAAAGGTGTAATTGGACTGGTTTTCTGTTGTACTTTCACAATATTCTGCAGAAGAATTTTCTATGTACTTTGCTGTTCCTGCTTCCTTTATATAATAGTTTTACCCTTAAAAAAAAAAAAAAATTGGACAAAGCTTTAAGTTAACAACCTAAGCCCGAAGACAACAACCTAACCATGTCAGAGTGTTTCAGAAAGGAAAAGACAAGTTTTCTTTGCTTATGTGCATACTTACTGTTCTGAAAGCTACCACATTTTGGAAGATAAGCTATTTTCTAAAATCTGTATTCTTCTAGATACTAAAACCACAAGCAGTAACAGCAACAGTAGTCTTTTTACTAGCCAAAAAAGTTCCCTTTCCTTTGACTTTGTACAATTATACCAGAAATGTAATTTGCTTATTAGTTGGTGAGGAAAAGGAGGAAAAGGAAAAATTTGGTTTGAGGAAAAATTCATGGGGTACAATTTTTTCTCCCCTAAAATACTATACTGTGGTGGACACAAGGCACTTCCAACCTGTTTCCAAATGGATCAAGTCACAATTAGTCTTCACCCAGCTCCTTTCAACTTACAGTTTCCAGCTAGCTCACTCTAGCACAATTACAGTCCAAGTATAGTGCTATACATGGAGAAAGGTGCCCAACAGCTGATTCCGTGGCTATTTAGAAGTTATTTAGAAGTTCAAGTTATTTAGAAGTTATTTACCATTTCAGAATGGAAGTTTACTAATATAAAATGTAGTAGGAGCCATCCAGCATGGTAAACGTTTACAAATCTGAATCAAAGCAGTTCAACAATTGTTCAGAACAAAAATGTAGAGATGGGAAAGGGAAGAAATTTGGCTTCTAACTCTCTTTTAGTTGAATAAGTGCTGTCACTGCAGTCTGCAAAACACAGCCCTGCTAACTCACAGAAAAAGCTGTGTGCCATGTGTACAAGTTTTGCTGTTCCTGTTGGGGACAGAATAAAAAAGGAGGGGACAAATGCAGTCATATTGAAGTCTGAAAGAAATAAAAGCTTGCCCATTATTTATCAGTTATGTTGGCCACACTTCTGTGTACACTCACGGAGATTACTCTGCAGCATTTTTCCCCAGGATCTCAGCAACGCTTTCTTTGCATATGGCTTTTCATCAGGGGAAGTCAAGCACACAGAGCAGAAAGCTCTTTTTTCGCCCTCCTCCACGCCTCCATCATTCGGACCAAGTAAAAAAGAAGTAAAAAAGCCAAGCAGTGCAATATGGAACATGAGCTGAGACCACAAAAGTGAGAGCTGGCACCAGCTGAGATGGGCACAGGCTGGAATGCACACGCGCCGAGCAGCTCTGCATGGGGGAACAAGCAGGACGCCAAATGGAAAACTGTGTTCAGAGGAGCTAGAAGAGACACTGCAATCTGCCACACATGTCAAGGCCTGCTTTGCACAAAAAAAAAAAAAAAAAAAAAAGAGCACACAGACAGAAGACGTAATATAGAGAGGTCCTTGTAGGATCAGGACTCGTAAAGGGGTGAAACATTGGATTTCGGGGAGCTGAACTAGTTTCCAGAGGTACTGCTGCATACATGACAAGTCACTCAAGGCAAACCCTTCAGAAGGATGGATGTACTATGTCAAATTATGTCAAAATTCAACTGTGAAGCAAGCAGGTCTTGTCAGATCTTATTTGCTCTGAGATTTGATTTGCTCCTGTTTAAACAGACAGATTCTCAAAATTTACATTAAAAGCTGCCTTGTCCCCTAGGCTTCAAATTTTCTGTTCAGCACATTACCTACTGAAAGCTTGGAAAGTTTTTAATTCCATCTGGTAATTTGAGAGGTGAGAAAGCTTCAGGACTAAATTCAGTTTTGTGCCTAAAGATTTGGAAACAGAGTTCAGAAGTCCCCATAGCTCAAACACCTCCACACTGTGTTATCAGTTGTATCATGCTAGGAAATAGATGCCAACCAAGAAGAGAGTCCTGCTGTGTTGAGCAATATTCAAAGTAATAGACTGATAGAAAACATCTTACAACTTAAGCATCATAAAGTAGGGTAAAAAACCATGCATCATACAGAAAATCAACAAGGTCTCAAAAATGGTGTGCAAGTCATTAGAGGTTTTTATCATTATCATCTAGTTTTAAAAAAGGAGATTGTAGTACAAAGTGCACAATGTCAACAGTCACTTCAATCAAACAATATCCTCAGGGAAACAAAACACAAAGCTGTTTATGACCGCTGCAAACCAGCATGCTCCAGCTGCTGCTTTATCAGTTGCTGGCTATACCTTCAGCTGGCTCCACAAAACAGAGTTTGCAGACTCAAAGATGATGATACAGTGCATATGTGCCGAGGCAAGTGACCTCCAAGTCTGCACATTTCTTCCTGACACAGTATCTGGGGAAGTCCTTACGAAGAGCATACACGATGACACTGCTCAAGATCAGCATTTACAGCTAGCTTCCTAGCAAGATGGTTTCTGCACGAAATTGAGCTCCCAATCTTAACATAATACCACATAAAAATCAGTGTTTGCCACTGGGATGCTCCTACTACTGGTAGCCACTGCTTCCAACTGCTGCCTCAGGATCAGGGCACCAGGATGGTCAGTTGTCCAGTGCCAATCATGGCCTCAGGCTCAGGTGGGGAAACCCCTCAGAATTCAGCTCCCTGAAGCTTTCCAGTGTGCTTGTTGCTGACCAAGCACATCTAGAAAAAAAAAGTACTGAGAAACATGCACTACAGGGAGAGTCAAAGGTTTCCAAATTCAAGTGCTGGTGGAAGCTCAAGGAGAGCTGACTGTACAATCTGAGCATTTATTCCTAAGAAGAATCTCTTTTTTTCAGAAGATAAATAACTGAAGGGGAAAAAAAAAAGTGATCACCAATATAATAGCAAGCTAAAAAACTGGTCTGGATAGGAATTATGAAAGGCACTGGAATTTAAGACATTCATTCTCTGTTCATATGCAAGAGAAACATCAAGCCTGTAACAGAGGAATAACACACAGGTAAACAGTCAGAGCTATACTAAACCCTGCTCCTCTTGTGCTGCTGAAAATGAGCTTTGATAAGAGGGCCTGCAAAGAGGACATTTGGAGAAGCTGATCTGATATTCTGGTAGAAGAAAAGCTGGAAATCCAAGGAGCAGTAAAATGCAAACTGCAGAGCCCTTTCTCCTTATGGGTTTAAATAGAGAACTTCCATAAAGGGGGAGAAGTTATGTTACTATTCTGATTACTTGTATAGAAACATAAGAGGAAGTGAGTAGAAATAAATTCCCATTTGTAGAAGTCCCTGTTTAAGATACTAATGCTTGTTTCTACCATTTCACAGAATACACCACTTCAGGATAAACTATTTTTAGGATCAATTATTGTTGATATGGAACAGTACACAAATTTCATGAGTCCCGCTGCTTAAGTACAACAGAGTTGCAGGCACGTGCTACAAAAAAGCCTCTCAGCCATTCTTAGTATGCTCACAGGAGCAAGCAGCCAGTGGTTTTAGTCTCCCAGCGAGATGACTTGAGGGTAATCGCTGCTGCAGATTCCACTAAACCTTTGCGTGCCTAGTGGCAGAGGCAGGGGGAATAGCACTTCACACATCACAAGCAGGGGACTGGAAGGAATTCCATGTTTTAAAGGAAAATGGTAATCTGAAAAGAGACAGTAGGAATGAAAACAGCTATGATTATTATCTTCAGAGAAATATACGATCTAGCAAAAACAGGGATTTCACATGCTTACTCAGAATGTCAATGAACACTGAAGGTAACGTCTTACCTAATGGCGTCCTGAAAAAAGTGCCAGAAAATAATTATTCTAACAAAAATGTCTTAGGGTTTGGGGTGTTTCTTGTACTTCAGACAACACATGATTACCCAACTCATTTATTAATTAATGACCATCTAATTTTAATAGAAGCTTTGTTACTAACATGAATGAAACCAGGCCTAAAAAAGGTGAACTAAACCAACAATGCCAAATAACTTAAAATGGTTTTGTATTAAACCTCTGAAAATACCAATATGACTAAGTAGTCATTGAAGCACACCTTCATTGCCACCACAAACCCCTAATTCACACTGCCATTGATCCTTTCTGAGCTGTTCACACTGGAGTGTGCCCTGAGTAGCTCAAAGGCTGAAAATTAACAAGCTTCCCAGCCAGATTCAGAGTCCTTTCTTGCAAGCTTTCTTGTCATGCTTCAGAGAGATTTCCTACCTTATAATTTCAAGATATTTTAATTCTCCAAGTTGCACAAGTTCAGATGGCTTCACTAACTAGGTCTTTGAGTGTTTAGTCTGCCTTTAAATACTTTTTAATTAAGGTTCTTAATTTCAGTGAACTTAACTGAATCATCTCACAATTGCTCATCTAAATCCAAAGGTATTTTCTAAATTTAAAGCTGCATCATTTCTTGTTAATTCAGTGGTCAAAGAAGAAAGTCACCACTCCTGAGTATGACTATGTGCTACTATTATTAGCAGCATTAGCTCCCCAATCAACGTCCCGTGAATTAGTCTCTGCTGTGACTGATGACATATGCATTGCTTCCCCTAACACAAGAAAACCATGCTCTTCCAAACTTCTTCTGGCCTCAGATTTACTTTAAGTCATGTTACTCCTTTTTCTACTCCAGCATGCCATCCATACGCACACCAGCCTGTCCTTACCCCTGACAGTAGCCCATGCCCTTCAACACCCATTTCAGGTCACAATGCTATCCTTCCAATTTTTTGTTACAGGTGTAATAAGTTTTCACATCCTACACCAGTAGTTCTTGTTCCTCTGGTTTGCTGGCTACACTCTTTGCATTACTGTGCAAATATCTCAGTTCTTTCAAAAACACCACACCCAGCTTTCTGGCTCCTTACAGAGTGCAGCCTTTTTAACAATTACTTATCCAATTACTCTTCTCATCAAGTGGAATACTTTCCTTCTCTGTGCTGTCCATCATTTTCCCCTCTAATATTCTCTATATATGTTATTCTCCTCTTCCTGTCTACAGACATGGTAATAAGTCTCTCCCACAGTTCTCCTTTCATTTCTTAACTTCAGTTTCTCCTCATGTCAGGCCAGACAAATCCAGTGAAACCTACACCCCAAACACAAAAGCAGAGCCTATCCAGTGAGAAATGTTACTTTCATAAAATCTTCTTCCTAGCCATATACTAAATATTCTTTGTAATGCCAGTCCTTGGTTCTACAACATTCTGCTGCATCTTCCACACAACTTCACTTGTCGACTAATAAACTAGGCAACAAGAGAAGGTAAAAATACTGTTTTCTACTAATGTGAATGTTCCAATATTGTCATAAAAGACTTCAGTGTTTTTGGAGTAAATCAAAACATTAACATGACCCTTCTTTCCCCTAGGCACCGACTTTCAGTAACCTCCAGAATTTTATCAGATCCCTAGTTTTCCGCATTTGGGCAAAGCTAGCTAAAAAGCAGAAAGAATAACAGTGCAACTATAAAAGCATCTTTCTTTAAGACATTCACTTAATAAAAAATATCCTTAAAAAGAATATCAATGACACAGCTTAATTTTCCATGCCAGAAGAAACTACTCACAGGTTTTCCCTCATGCTGCAAATTCATCCACTCGCAAAGCTAGTCAAGAACTTTCTAAAATGAGCACTGAACGCATTCTCCAAATTATTTGTGCGTAGCACACATGGGTGAGATGGTTGACTCTAGCACAGTTTCACAGTTCAAGTGTTAGATTTACTTCTTTAACTCCACTAGAAAATATGAATATTCAGATGAGTTTGTTGCTGCAAAATACCAATGTTACTATTTTGTAGCACCTTTCTAAAACAGCTTAAAACTCAGGATGACAGATTGAATGCTGGGATGACAATACCGCAAACTTTAAGTGGCTTACTGGCAAAGAACTCCTTAAAAGTACGTTTTGAACATAATTTAGTCAGTGTAGAGATAAAAGTTTTGAATTATGCCACAGTTGAATTTATGCTTTCAGATTCCTGCTTCATTGTTCTTAGCAAAAAGCTTACAGATCCCTTCACTTTTAAGACACACATAAAAAGAGTTGTGCTGCCCTGTTTGTCAAGACCAAATGAAAATGTTCAAAACTGTGATTATACATTCACAATAAAAAATTTTTTTTTTTTAATGACAGCTCAGTATCCAGTAGCTTTAGCAGAGAACCATTGCTGTGATTAGCTTCTGAAAGGGTATCATCACAAGAGTTTACAAAGAGTAAATACACCAGCTTGCTTAGCAGGACAAACTTCTTCACTTCAGCACAAGAAGCATAATCACAAGAGGGAGCAATAAAACAAGCTCTCTACCCAAGTCAAACAATGGCACCCAGCACAGTTTGAGTGATCCACATCCAGAACACTAATTCCAAATTTAACTGCAGGCCTATGTGTCATTTTGGTTTAATTGCAACATGATTTTTTCCTTCTCATGAAAATCTCCTTGTGGACTACAAACTCTCCTCATTTCCAGGATACCTATTCAGACTGTAAGAATAGATGGAAAATTCAGACAAGCAAAAAAACTGTTAGTATCATTAGTTGCACAAAACAAAGAGAAGCAAACTCAAAGCTTATTAATAGCAGGTACCATTCTACCAAACAATCTCTACTTTCAAATAAAAATAAGCAAGTGATCATAAAGAGTCGAAGGACTGTTGCAGAACAAGGCGACACTGGGATGAGCACCCCTCTCAGTTTCACTTACCTGGACAGTCAACTTCATCACTCTCATCCTCGCAGGTGGGCCATCCATCACACTGCCAATTTGAAGGGATGCACTGGATGGTACCACTCCGACACGCAAACTGCCCTGGAGTGCAGCGGAGCTCTAGGGAAGAAGAATAAAGTTGTGCTTTGTTTGAAGTGTTATTTATTCTTGCAAGTCTGTAAATGTGTTAATCATCCATCATGTAATGTATCACTGAAGCGTAACAGACAAAACCTCTGGATAACTCAGGCTCAGTTTTAAACTGCACATTTGTGGTTTTAAGACAGGAGAGCTGGCTTCTAGTGCTCAGGAAATATTTCAGACATCCATGGTAAGAACTCCCTGATGAAGATACCACATAAGCAGCTATCACCACAGCATTACCCATTTACTTCTTGTGGGGCACTGAGGACTACTTGTTCACATTTCTCAGAAACAAAGTTCAACAAAAATATGCTATGGTAGTTAAGTGCCAGATTACATGATAAATTCCAAATCCTACTTCCATTCCAGTCAGTATGTAAGCCAGGACCCGTTACACTTGCGTAAATGCCCAGGCTGATTTAGAGCCATTTTACAGAACTATTTGTAAATCAATATCTGTATCTATGAACTCATTTCTACTTTCTTGCTTAAGCAGTTTTGTAGATTTTCTCCATACAAACACATTCTTTACAAGAAACTGTCAATATCTGCAAACATGTAGTTCCTGCTTCTGCAAGAGTACTGCCTACTTGTCATCATTACACTGTCAGACCTAATTAGCATTATAATAAGTACAATTTTTTCAAAGCTTTCTTATATCAAATCCATCTATCAAATGCCAGAAACTAATAATTCAGCTTCATTTTGCATCCCTCAAAACATTTTGCAGAGGAAAAAACCCCATCTACGCAAGCGAACAACTCCGGCTTGTTTACAAACGGCAGGTCTGCCAGTTGCTACTAGCACCCACAGGCTCATTATCACACCAGACTATCACCATCCACCTTTCTTTTTGACAGTGACTCTCCATTTTCCAACCAATGTTTCTGAACAATTTAGCACCTTTTCCTCTCAGCGAGCTACAATAAGCCCAGGTAAGCTATGTCTGGACAACAAGCACCTTTTACAAAATAAATAAGTGTTTTAAAGTAAACCACACTCAGCTCTGGCTTTGAATGAATCCAGCAGGTTACTGTTTTGCAGGAAGAAAAGAAAATTTAAAATACCAGTATGTACTCTCTCATCCGTAGTTTACATCCTAAGAAAAGAGCTGTAATAGCACTTTTTGCTTTCTTGAAACACACATCTAAACTAAATCAAGACAGAGATCACATTTAAGTGTTCAGACAACATGGCCAGGTATAATAAAATCAGTCATCATGAACTCTCAATAAAAGCTGTACTCATTCACCTAGTAATTGGTACAGGATATTGATAATGGGTTTCTAATTCCATGTCAGACTAAAATCCAGTTCTAGTACTGGTTTCTCTTCAAAGCACAGACCTGCTCTTCTAGAAAAATAAAAGCAGGCACATCCTCTTAGCAACCACCTACTCAGAGCAAACATTCAGGTCACAAAATGGCTAAGAACTCACACAGACCTGCCAGACTACTGATGGCAACAACAGACCTTACAGCAAGACAGGAGCATTCGCACCCATTTAGACTTTTACTAGATCCAAAAAGCTAACAGAGCACAAGCACAGGGGAAATGTTAAAAAAATTAAATCTACCAGCTTAGGTTGTTCCCCTCAAGGCTCTCCCCCAACAAAAACTGGTAATTTATTTAGCCCAATAAGTGAGTGGGTAAATAAAAGCTTCTATTTCCCTTGATTAGAGAAATAAAAGGTTAAGCTTCACTTGACCAATGTAATGAGAAAAAATTTATAACCTATTTGTGAATTATAAAAAACAAACAAACAAAACCCACACACAAAACCTCAAGCTGAAAGTAAAACTCCTCAAATTTCAGGTTTACAGAAAAGCATCAACTCTTCAGTAATCATTGCAGCAACTTTAACTAGTTCTGCACAATGTCAGTACCCAGTGGAAGGTTTGTTAGAAAGTTCCACTACCGCAGTTTCCAGCACAGAATTTACACAGGAGCCCGTGGCAGGTATTTTAACATGTGAAGACTACCCTCAGCCCAGCTCCAGGTTTCCATTGCATCCACCTGCAGTTATGACAAAATTAAATTCAAAATTCAGTCCTTTAAATAAACCCTTTATTTTCTTACTGCTTGATTTCAATGGGAGTCCTGCACACACCCTGTGAATAAAAACCTATTCTACAGCCCTTTGGTTTCGCAGGGGGCATCCACCAGGGAAGTGCTACAAGCCAACATGCACGTGGGAAAAACAGTAAGGAATATTTGTGTCTCTCTACAATTTCATACATGCTATTACTATTTTATGTACAATTACATATGACTGATTCAGATAAAAGGATGACTCCATCCCAATATTATGGACATTTAAAAAATGCCAGTTACATGCCGTAATGTCATTATTTCCTGTATTATAGACACTCCTCTCTGAAGAATGTGGATACATGGAAGAGTACAAAACACTTCCATTAAAACACCACTCAAAGCAGCTGAACAATTGTTCCCAATGGAAACCATGCTATGTCATATCCACTAATTATTTTAGACCAAGGTGCACAAACCGCTATGCAATTCTGTTGCAAAGAGGGAAAAGCGTGACACTAAAACCCCTGAAATTAAAATTTCCATCTTCCACACACACTGCCACAACACCTCCTGAGCTATCCTAATCCACAGCCCGTAAGCCCCACACATTACTGGGCTACCTAAACCATCATGCAGTTTCTGCAGTTTCATCTGAATTGTTTTGCTTCTATGTGCTGCCTTGTGGTTTAGCACAAAGAGAAACAAGATGCAATCATCTGAGAAAATCTAACCACCTCTCTTACTTGTGCTTACAGTGGGTTTGGACATACCCAACGGCCTCCTTGAGGACAGATGCTTAAGATCAGTTCTTTTAGAAATGGATCTCCACAAAAGCCCCACCAGAGACACACCAGTGGGCTGGCATCTGGACAAGACCTGGCAGTGGGCAGGCAGCTCAGCAGCAGTTCCCCGGCCACCTGCCAACACAATCCCCTCGGCCCTACGTGCCCCACAAAGCCCTGTGTGCCAGGCTCAAGACTCCCACAGCAGAGCACACCAGGTAGCCAGGGCAGCTGCTTTCAGAAGTAAAATAGATACACAAAAATAGATAGATGTCTCTAGAGAACCTGTGAGATACTTGGCCAAGGAACAGAGACACTTGGGAGAGGCGAGGACACACAGGATAGGTGCTAGTCTCCACAACCCAGTCAGGCATTTCATCTCAGTAGCCTATTTTTAAATCAAAACAGCAGAGAAACAGAAACATTTCAAGCCTCTCTCTTTACTGCAGAAAAGGGCAAGTCATGCTGCCAGCAGCAGAGCAGGATTCATGAGGACATACGAGCACAAGCAACACCACAAAGTAACCATCCATTTTTCACGAAATACAAGTAATCGCTTAACTCAGACTTTGTACTTTCCAGTAGTGTGATAAATAACCATCTCTTTTTACCCATACAACATTTCCCGTTCCTCAAAAGAATAGCAAAGTTTCAAAGATACCAGTCCCACTTCTGTACCCAAAGCCAGACACCGCACACTGTTCATAGCTATTGATGGTAGATCACACTAAAGAAGGATGAGAAAGAAAGTATCTTAAACTATTGCCTCCTAGCAGCACTGAAAACACACATTTTCCACCAGCTGTTAAAGCAGAAACATTTTGTACTTTCAATACTGTTGGAAAACATGTAATGGCACAAGTTCAGCTATAAGCAAGCAGCTGTTGGAACAGAGGCACCAATACAACATTAGCTAACAGCATCAGCAACTGCCTAGAAGTGGGAAATATGGAAACGCAACCACCTCCAGCATTCACCTGCAACGTGACAAGTCACATCAGCAGTATTATGATTCACATATGAAATTCTAACATGAAAGGCTTTTAAGGATCAGATACAGTCTTTGCAATCCCACAGTACAAAATTTAATACACTGAAATCTCATTTTAGAGCAATTAAATTCAGCTGGCATTTGCTGGGGAGAAAGGGAAGCACGAAAAACACTGGAAATAGCAATTGTAGGTTTTGCACTACACATAATATAAATTTACAAAACATCACGAAGTTCAAGCAGTGTGAGAATGTGAAAACACTTTAAGCAGCAAGATGTCATACAGTTTCTTCACTTTGTCTTAAAGCAGTTCTGTGATGTTAACCCTCAACAATCTTGCCAACCACCACATTCTTCTGCCAGTGCTTACAATGAAGTACAGAAAAATTGCATAGCTTGTCAACAGCTATGGATGAGATGAGCCTACAAGCAGAAGTCAGCTGTCTTGACCATGCTTCCATGACACCTTGTTTCCTCCCTGGAGCCCAAGCAAGATGCCAGTTCAGCAGCACACCCCTACATGAATGAACATCTGTCTTTCATAAATATCAACAATTAATAGCAGTGTATTCTCTGGTAACACTTAAAATTGTTGCTCAAGAGAACAAGTGAAGAGAAACAATCCTTAGCTTTATACAAAAAGAGAAGAAAAATTGAAATCAGGTTCAGGCCACGTATTAGCTCTACAAGATTAATATATATTTATAATCCAAGATAAAAGTTACTGTCAAGTGAAGTCCTAAAAACTCAATACCAATTTGCTGGGAGACATTATTAGATAATACAACCTCCTCATGAGTCACTCACCTGAAAGAAGTCTTGCCAAAGCTAGTCGTGGACCTGTAATTTGAAATTTAAAAGAAAACTTACAAAACAGTTGGAAACTAAAGTAAACACTAGAAATAACAGGCAAGATTAGAAATAAATTTAAACAGTGCCATACAAACATACATCTCCTTTAGCTGCCAAGTATTATTTTTTCTAAGTTCGTCAGTGACAAAATAGGCAAGATTTTTGACTAATAGAAAAATCCAGATCTCATACTAGAAAAACCCAAAGGTTTCAAGGTGGCTGCTTACACTCTTACAGAAAGCTTTTGTTGCAACAATTTTCCCAATTGCATTGAATGCCTGGTGTTTCACAGCACTTATATATGTCAATGTAGGGCTTAACTAGTTCCTAAATTTTCTTTTACAGAACAATAATTTCCAAGTTTTCTGCTAAGCAGACAAAACAGACATTTGCAACAAGCATTATCCACAGGAAGGATTTCATAATGAAATATGCACACACTCTCTGCTTTAATTTCCAGCCAGCTTCATGTGTTCCATAAAACAAACACATTTGTGCCATTATAAAATGATCCAGGAAGCCCTTTCACCTTTAATAATTTTGTGTAATCCTTCTGTGCAATCAAGAACATTTTGCTTCTGGAACCTCAACATTGGGAAGCCACAGCACACCCTCCCCACAGCAGATCCACACCGGGTCAGCGTGCTGCCCTGGCATTAGACTATCCCCGACCTCTATTTCCTGCTTCATTTTAAGTTTTTCAGAGGTGCATTTCGACTAGAACACCTCCTGCTTGCATTCCAGTTGGAACTAATTTCTTGTTCATTATCCCTTATCTCTTGCATAAAAAATGGGAGGATCAGTTACTCAAAACTACTGTTTTACTGCCAAGAACAGCAGGCAGGGTCCATATCCAGTATCTGAGGCTACTTTTCAATATACTAAATCTCATTTTAGAGCTTCCAATATTAAGTCAAGACTGTAATAGGCACATGAGACAAAGTGTTGATTCAATATAAGTTCACCTTGCTAGTTTAGTTTTCTGAATGAATCTGATGAGTTGGCTTTGAAACAGCAATTCAGATCACATGAAGCTCTTGTCTGTCCACACTAATTTTAAGTCAGCTCAGCTATGGTTTGTCCCCCTGCCAACAGAAAGATTGCATGCTCCAACTCATTTAGCAGCGATACAATTGTACAGATTCAGTATCAATGGGGAACTGGGGCCTCATAATCGTTGTCTGTCAATGAAGGCAGAACACCTACTAATGTGTTTAATTTATTGTTTTAAATATTAGCTCTAATAGAAGACATTTTCCGATATGCTGGGATTACACACATCTCTTCAGAGGCAGAACTGAGTCTCGTAGGAAAATGAGAACGCTGTGATTCTGTCTTCACAGGATTATTTATCCTCCATCAATTCAAGGCAGAGATATAGAAAGAATTCAGCCCAAAGAAATTCTTCATCCAGTAAAAATGCCAGAGGTCCTGTCTCAGGTATGTATAATAAACAAATTCTGCAAAGCATTAGGTAAACACATGAATGTTTTCAAAATCTCAATTTCAACCTTATCGTCTCAAGACCCTGAGGTTTACCATTACAGGAACCAGTAGAAAAAGGAACACCAGAAAGCCAAATCTTTCCTAAAGCAGAAGCATATCACTGACAGAAAATTCCCCTTACTTATAAGCTGTGTGTTCCTAACTTTGATATATCAATCACTTGCAGGACAAAAATCTTGATGTCTTGGTAATTCACAACTTAAGGGGTACAGATGAGAAGTCAGAGCCCTAAACTAAATTCTCCAAAATGTCTCAATTCAGGAGAATGCTCTCATACAGAGATTAAACTCAGTGACTTCAACCACTGATTACAAAAGCTTGGGCTCTTCTAGTTGCAAAGACTTAATTTCTCTTTATTAGAGATTCAACAGTCACTGAAGTCTGATGCATTAAGATATTCTTTTGGTAGCTAAGACTACGGATTCAAGTCAGATTTTAGTGTTCACACAGATTCAAATCTGTATTTGCTATTTCAGTTTTTAATAAAAAGAAATGCTACTAAAGAACATTTGCTACACTAATTGTTCTTGTCTGCTGAGCTTCATTTGTATGGAAATTGAAATTTGATTAAACATACAAACCCAGCACTTAAGTGTTATTTCAATTTTAAGCTATTACTCTGAAATGCATGTATTGGAAAAGATAAGCTCAAAGTACAGGGTCTGGTTTTGTACGTCAGCTTTCCACAAACAATGGCAGTTTTGTGTGTTGCTTCTCATACACTTTGCTTCTCAACATTGGATCTGGTACATCCTCTGGCATCATTTTTATTTACAGGCTGAAGGAAAACTAAAGACAAAAATACTGCCTGCTTTCTCAGTCTTAAATCACTCATTGTCCCAAACTAAATGAACTAACCTGTAAGAGAATATTCTGTACAGATTTCAAGAAGCAATTGCAGCTATCAAAAGCTGATTAAGCATTAACAAAAACTCTGACTACAAGTGCTTAGGCCAGTAACATTTCTTATTCGGATTTTAACTTGTCCAACAGGTCTGTCTTATATTTTATAACACTAAATCTACATACTTAAGACCTGTACCTACATGTTGCACTATCATTTCATATGCTAACATACTTAAGTATAGTAAAATTGAAAATTTTTCTTAAATCACTGTTTGTATATAACCTCACTCATACTAAACTGTATGAGCATGATCAAATCCTAGCATCTTCAGCAAGAAGCCTAACCCCTAAGTCCTGAGCTCCTCCTACCGATTTTGCTCAAAAAATGCCTGCAAACAAGTATCAGAAACTAAACAACAAAAGGAACACCACATCCATCATCATCACAAAAACACAGCTCCACATCTAATGCAGAAGCATAGACTGGTATTTACTGAAGTAACAGAAACATTAAAATATTCTTAATGCTCCAAACACAATACCACAACGGTTTTCTTAATTTAATCCTCAGCAGATATGTGGGGAAAAAAAACATCCTTAAGCTAGTCCTCTGCACCTGAAAAGCACTTTTCCTAACATGGACTTCTCTCAAGTGCAGAGGGGAGCTTCACCAGAGCAGGTACCATACCTCACAGAAAGCTCCTGACAATCTGCCAGCATGTCCAGAGCACAGCAGTCCTGCCCAGGCACTGCTTGTGGTGGCCAGAAGTCAGTTGAACAGTTTTCAGTGACAGCGAAGACAACTAGAAACTTGCACTTGAGGATGTTCTGACACAGTCTTCAAACAGGTTTGCTTGTTTTTAACTTCTCTTTGAGATCTCACAGATCCCATGCAAAGGTTCCGATTTCAGGCAAGTGAAGCCATACCTAAATGGTGCTCTCCCTCAGCTCCAGATCTCAGAGTTTTCACTATCCATTCATCTCTCAGCAGGTTTCTTTATGTCACTTTGTGAATCTTACTTGTTTTTATATTTATCCTTATCCCACCTGCTGCTGCATTCAGTGTAGTAGAGTTCATACAGTACTTCATAACAAAGCCACAGTAGGAGAAAAACAGACTCATAACACCACACTATTTTCAGAGAAGAAAACTATTTGTGAAGCTCACAATCCACCACCAGAGAACTATCCATTCCACAGATAAAGCTTATTAAAGTTTCTCAATAAAACTGGTTTACCGTTCCTCAAATTAAAAGCCTATAATTAAAACCTAAAGTCTACAGAAGAATTAAAAAGCTACAGAATGAGCACTCCATTTTCGTGTTCAGTTCCACAGAAGACAACGCTCAGCCATCCACCTGTGCTACTGAAAACATGCCTAAGCACAACCCTTCAGTCAGGCAGCTTTGGTTCAGCACAGCCTGAGTTTGTGCACACGGGTATGAAAGCACAATGGCACAGAGCCCAGGGGAAAAAAAGGAACCCACAACTATTCTCAAATTTAATTCCAGCTCCTGAAAATGAGGGATTCTGAAGTTATAATCCCATTTAGTAGGAATGCATGTGTGCCAATAATAAGAAACGTTAGAGGAACAGTCATTTTCTGCATGACCTCAGCATGTAGTTTCATGAAATAATTAAAATTGTGACAGCACTCCAGTTGAAAAACTGTGAATGCTTAATGAATAACTCTAATGAACATTCTGTATTACTCAATCTTCTGTCATAATAAGTTACGCTAGATGACCCTAACATCCATCAAAAGATTTTACAGTATGTTAAGGAACAGTAGTAGTCTCCTTCCCCTCACCCCCTCATATCAATATTATTACCTACACTCTGCACAAGCTTGGAACTGACCCAGTTTCTCCTTGCTCACAAGTGTCATTCACTGCAGTTCATTGTCTGCTCTTTGTCTGGAGGGCACACTCAATGCCACTATGGATTGAAAAAAAAAAAAAAAAAAGAAAAATCAAACCAAGAAAAAGCAGCTAAGGCAGTGCAAGAGACCCGGCATTCGGCCAAAGCAACAACAGCAGAGCTTCTTGAATGGGAACCCTGGCTATGATTTCCTAAGACTCAGAAAATACAGACTTTGTGCTTTATGAATGTGGACACATATTCCTAAGACTAAAATCAGAGGGGAATAAAAAAAGTATACATTTCCCAATTCCCCCATACTGCTAAAACCAAACAGAAACCAAAATATGCTACTTGAACTAAGCCAAAAGAACACCGTAGATTAGGCAATGCAGCATTCCAGACCAAAAACCAGTTTATTTTCATAGCAGTGTGGATACCAGCTGAACAACAGGGTGGTATTCCCCCACCTCTCTCACAAGACACTGTTGTATTATGACAGTAAGTAAACAGGCAGAGGGGAAAAGCAAAATACAGCAGTGGCATAAAGAGCACTTGGCACAAACAAAATCTAAACAAAATCAAAAACAAAATCAAAGCCACAGGTACTCATGAATGCTTTAATGTGGCTCAGAATTAAAGCCTACAATTCCTCTACACTAACAACCTTGTTCAGGACTTCAGATGTTTTGTACAGCCTTAGGTGGGACTTAAGTCTTAGTACTTAACTGTGACAAGTGACCTAAACCTGTGCAGCACTAAAGTTTTTGACTTTT